ATTCCTGCAAGTTTCTTTCCGTCTGAGTTTCTCGGATGAAGCTGACGATTCTCCTTTAGAGTTAACATATCCTGGACCTCGGACAGCAGCGCGGACGAAGTTCTCGAATTTCCAAGTTGCGTCGAATAGGACTCCACGTTGTTTCCCGATGTACCTGCGGGCAGCACGGTCAAACTGGATAACACGTCGAGATGTCTTGGAACGGGAGGAGTTGCAGGGGACAATGTTCTCTTTACCGTCAATGGTGTCTTCTTCACCATCGGCATTGAATTCCTTGGAGAGGATGGTATCGAACTCGACATAGCTGTTGAGGAGGACATTCTTCCACTGGGAGGAAGGAAGGTTGGGGAGGTGGGGTTGGGACCTGATGAGTCGGACAGTCTCGTTGATGTCTCGACTATACTTTTCGATTTTTCTGGTAATTGCAAGGTGCTTTGATTTCGAAGTCCTCGTCCTCTTACTCGACCTGTACAAAATAAAATTGGGATTTATCCATCTTGGGTTTCTTGTATAGGCTGGAGGACTCGTCCTCTGATGCTTCCGGGGACGAGGATCGGCTACGTTTGGGAGCGGCGGACATGCGGTCCAGGAGGGAAGGGTTTCGTTGGGAAGACACACGTCGGAGGAGGACGGGCTCAGAGTGTGTCATGGAAGGGTGAACTCCCACCTGGGAATCGGAAGGATTCCGATTTCAAATTGGGGTCTGGTAGGCAGTCGGAAATGATATCGAATGGTGATGCCTCAACGTTCTGATACTCGAGCTGGAGGTTAAAATGATGCTTGAACTTAAATCGACCTTTCGAGCACATACTACTCCGATGTATCCGAGCCACGCGCTCGCGTCCGTTTCACAACCCCCACGCTTCAAGCCCGAGTCCATTCCACTACTAATTGAATTTACGGCATCCAACCAAAATGTGCCATGTGCGTCAAGATTAACTCAAGATGCGTAAAATAATAATTAAATTAAACAAGACTTCTTTGCAGATTTCATATGGCGCTGGTGCTGGCGAGATTCGAACTCGCAGCTAGGCTACAGAATATGCCTATGCGGCGGAGATTATGGTGAAGCCTAAGGTTAACCGTTACCCCACAGCACCATGTCTAGTGACATTACCTATGGTAATGAGGCCTTGCTAGCCTTTGAGAGAGATAGATTTATTGACAAGCTCTCAATCAAAGGCTTGCATTGCTAAAGATGTTTGTTAGGTTGAAGTGAAATATTGACGCACCTAAAGATTGATATTCTTCATTGGATTTTGTGCTGTCTGATTACCACTATCTACCCATTCCTCTTTATCTTCCCTCTGGATCGACTCGATTTTAAACCTCAGGCAGCATCTGTCAGTTTATTTTCCCGCAACAAGGTACTTTTAATTTACAGCCGGCAGCCTTTTAAGGATAACATCACGACGTTTAGCTCAATTTTATTGAAAAAAACCTCACAATTTCCACAGTATGCAGTAAGGCTTTTTAAAAACATATCAATAAGACTTCGTAGAGCTTTTGTAAAGAGCTACGATAACTTCTGGAGCCCCGGGAATATGGCCGGGCAGCTGCTAAAATCCGGCCTGGCACCCAGGGCGCTTATTCGGCAGCCCACGGCACCTTCGGCACCCTTCCAAAATGGCAGAGACCATCAAATACTGTTTATCCATAAGTTTTTAAAAAGATTGTGATAAGGTGATACACCTAGCCCGATGCCCGCCCACTGGCACCTATAGCATAGTGCGCTCATCAGCGCTTATTTCCCGCCCTCCGGCGCTTATTTTGACAAAAAATGTTGGTAATTAGGCTTGATAAATACTGAAAAAATCATGAAAAATACTGAAAATATCCAGGCAACGGGAATGCACCCTGTGCCGCTTTAATTTTTGTCACATGATTTGGGACCTGATTTTAGCGCCCACAGGGGCTATTTTGCGGAAAAATAAAAAATTAGGCCTCATAAATCCCGAAAAATCCTGGAAAAATTGTAAAAAATGTGGAAAATATTCAGTGATGCATCACAATCACATGACCCTGGATCTTTTGCAAAAAAACCCAATAATGGATAATAATCACAAACAATCAGAAATTTCTCATAAAACAGCAGCAGGGGTAGGGATATACACCATACCATATATGGTTATGATGACATTCTATAATATGATTAGAGTGGCACTGTAAAATATGGTCATAGTGGCACTATAAAATATGGTCATGGTGGCATTGTATGAATATGGTTAAAGTGGCACTATATTTACAGTGGCACCAGTATGATTACAGTGGCACTATAAAATATGGTCATGGTGGCACTGTGTGAATATGGTTAAGGTGGCACATATTTTACAGTGGCCATATAAATATGGTTACAGTGGCACTGTATGAATATTGTTATGGTACCATCATATACAGTGACAGCGAAATCAAACCTGCACCCCTGATTTGGAAGCCGCATACATTCCTGGTGCTAAACTTTTTCTTTTTTACTGCTTTTTTGGCAATAGTGTAGTATTACAACTATGTAATGTACTCTATGCTATTCCTGGTGTGAATACAGGCCACATTCAACTGAAAATTACTAATGTTGACATGAGGAGGACTTTTTCTGTGTGGTAAGAGCTGGCAACACATGCAGTTTCTGAATCGGGGATGTGGGTTTGATTTTGCTGTCACTGTCGATATGGTTAAAATATCACCATATAAATTATAAATACAGTTATGGTACTGCCATGTTAACATGGTTATGGAACAGCCACTAGGGATCCGCACTATGACTGTATGATATGGCTTACAGTTACAGTTATACAGGTACTTGTAATTGTACTGTAAAGAGTGTCTGAGGACACTTTTTACAGCCATATTTATATGGTTGCTGTACAGGTATCTCATACAGCAAGATTACAGTATCATTACTGGTTTTGACCAACTATTCAATCATGTATTGACTATGAGTAGAGTATAGCTCAGTACCATGGATGAAACTAACCAGTATATTCACTAACATAGGATATGGCTTTATGTCTGAGTTATGACAGTTACAGTACTACAATACCAATGCAAGTGTAGTGTCAATGTACTTGTAACTCACAAAGGTAACTCATGTGATGGAGTTTGGGTGACTTGGGATATACAAGTACATTGACAGCTAAGGTACTGTGATATACTGGTACAGAAGCATGATATGACTTGTGTTAATTGCAGCCCTACTTTTATATGTTATGGTACTGCTATGACTAGAATGATATGGCTGTATTGGAGTAGTACTGATAACTCAGTGTGAGTATATGCATAGTATCATGAGGACTGGGTACTCTTGTACTATTACAACCAACTGTTCATGGATTTCGGAAAATACACAATAGAAAACAACAGAAAAGATACCAAAACCTTGAGGATGAATTTACTCCAAACAATTACAAGTACCTGTATAACTGTAACTGTAAGCCATATTATACAGTTATAGTGCAGATCCCTAGTGGCTGTTCCATAACCATATTTACATGGCAGTACCATAACTGTATTTATAATTTATAGTGTGTGACTCGGGTCAGGTTGAGTGCCCAAAACATCAACCCAACCTGGAGCCAAGGCTATACCCATACCTGGTTCGACAGGTATGGGTTTCTCATGGTTGGGTTAGGTTACAGTTTCTCCCAGACACCAGGAATCCCATATAGAAATACAAACCAATAATGACATCATAACCAAAAAGAACTAGAATTTTTTGTGATATGACATCATAATTGAGGGTTCAGGTATTCTTGTATCAAAAAAAACAGTACAGTACTACAAATTTACTAAGATCAAGTACAGCTATGAGATCAATACGCAAAAAATATTCTTGACCCTGGATGGATCCAGGTGAGTTTTGGGTCTGCAGAGCTGGACCCAACCCAACCCAGCACAGCCACCTGACCCGGAAACCCGGCTCACCCAGCATACCTGGGCCACACACTAATAATTTATATGGTAATGTTTTAACCATACTCATACAGTGCCAGCATGACCATATTTTATAGTGCCACTGTAATCATACTGGTGCCACTGTAAATATAGTGCCACTTTAACCATATTCATACAATGCCACCATGACCATATTTTATAGTGCCACTATGACCATATTTTACAGTGCCACTCTAATCATATTTATAGAATGTCATCATAACCATATATGGTATGGTGTATATCCCTACCCCTGCTGCTGTTTTATGAGAAATTTCTGATTTTTTGTGATTATTATTCATTATTGGGTTTTTTTTGCAAAAGATCCAGGGTCATGTGATTGTGATACATCCCTGAATATTTTCCACATTTTTTACAATTTTTCCAGGATTTTCTGGGATTTATGAGGCCTAATTTTTTATTTTTCCGCAAAATAGCCCCTGTGGGCGCTAAAATCAGGTCCCAAATCATGTGACAAAAATTAAAGTCGGTACAGGGTGCATTCCCACTGCCTGAATATTTTCAGTATTTTTCATGATTTTTTCAGTATTTATCAAGCCTAATCACCGACATTTTTTGTCAAAATAAGCGCCGGAGGGCGGGAAATAAGCGCTGGTGAGTGCACTATGCTATAGGTGCCAGTGGGCGGGCATCGGGCTAGGTGTATCACCTTATCACAATCTTTTTAAAAACTTACGGATAAACAGTATTTGATGGTATTCTGCCATTTTGGGAGGGTGCCGGAGGTGCCGTGGGCCGCCGAATAAGCGCCCTGGGTGCCAGGCCGGATTTTAGCAGCTGCCCGGCCATATTCCCGGGGCTCCAGAAGTTATCGTAGCTTTTTACAAAAGCTCTACGAAGTCTTATCAACATTTTTTTAAAATGCTTTACAGCATCGGTTGCAATTTCAGCACAACTTTTACGGTAAGATTATTTAAATTTTACGCTCGGCCGAAAAGTAAGACTCTTTTGTTCCCAGCCGCTCAATAACCCCACCATATCTGCCGCCTCAACATCGTCAAATTCCCGCAGATGTGATGCATAATTAAAAAATTTTCTTTGCAGATTTCATACGGCGCTGGCGAGATTCGAACTCGCAGTTAGGCTACGTCACAAAATGGAGAAATCATAGTGAAGCCTCAGGTTAACCATTACCCCACAGTGCCATGTTTACTGAGCATTATCTACGGTAATGAGCCCTTTGTTGGATAACACGGTGTGTCGTCACTCGAGGGAAGGCAGAGGCAAACAAGTATATTCCGCTTGAGCTGGAGTCGTAATATTTCCAATCGGAGGCCGTGACGAGCAACGGCACTTGGCAAAAATCAAATACAACACCCTTGCTAGCCTTTGAGAGACATAGATTTATTGACAAGCTCTCATACACCTCGGACGCTTTTATAGAGTTGAGATCCTTCAGAAAGCAGCAAGATGTTCAACCGGATGAAGTCAATAGGCGCTCGGGCGTTAAAATTATGGTCGGCTCCTGTAGATTGATTGATAACTCATTGGTTAAGACCTTCTGGCCAAGTGGTAAGGTATATTAATTGCTGGGCAATCGTTATCAGTACGTCCCATTGCTCCATGTAGGGTCGACTCCTACCTAAGTCATTTTTTTTAGTACTGTTGATTTCATACAATTGAATAACCGACATAATTAACTATCTCTCGATGTTTACAACGGTCACCGCGTTTCGACTTCTCGACGTTCACGACGTCGACAACCAATATCCTCCCCGAGGTTAGTTTAAAAGACCTCATGCTTACCTCGCGGAGGTTTGGAGACGGATATTTTAATTTTCGTCCCGATGATATCCGGCGCTTTGTTTGAAGAATTTACCGCGTCCAGCCAAAATGTGCCATGTGCGTCAAGATTAACTCAAGATGCGTAAAATAATAATAAAATTAAAAAAGACATCTATGCAGATTTCATATGGCGCTGGCGCTGGCGAGATTCGAACTCGCAACTAGGCTCACAATATGCATACGTGGAAATTGTCGATAATGTATGTAGCCTAAGGTTAACCGTTACCCCACAGCACCATGCCTAAGATAGATTTATTGACAAACTCTCAATCCGTCTTTACCTATATCTTTTTTATCACTCAATTATTACCCTCTTATTGCTTTTTGTCATTGTATTCTGATGCTCATGTGACACAAGATCAACCCCGATGCTTGAGTAGGAGATTCCAGGGGCCTGCGAGCGGCGGAAACAGTTACAGTGGCCGACAAAATTGATGTTGTCCCCCGTGACCTACTGAATGGCTACTGAATAGCCTACTGAATTGGGGGGACGACATCAATTTTGTCGGCCACTGTAACCAAACAGGAACAAGCATCGTTGCAACGAGCAGGTGATGCGGCGCTTAATGTAACGATGCTGACACTGTTTCAAGGGACATTCGGCAGCAGAACGGCAGACAGAATGCGTTTAACGTGACCTGTCGAAACCATGCGACCAGAAATAAGCGCCGTAAGCATTCAAGAAACAGCTACAAAGAGCAAATTATTGATGCTGTGCAGCCAGAGGGTGCCAAAGGCAGTCAAAAGCTCAAATCTCATTTTACTGAAGTGCGGAACTACGCTAAGAACTCTACGAGAGTACATAGACTAAGCGCTCTCTCGGGTATTTTGGACCCGCATTATCGGATCAGACACCCCTTGCCTATTTTAGTAAGGGTGCATGATGTCTGCCATTCAAGTGCCGAACGCCCCTTGCACTGTTTAGCCAATCAGTTTTTTCCTTAAAGGGAGTCCTTGGCATATCCGATTGTGATCGGCTGGACCCGTGAGACTAACCGCCAAGACAACTCTTCTCCCTCTCCCATGGCAGACCCTCAGCAACCGCCTGCACCTCTCACTGGCAGTCTCAGGTCGGATGTTCTTCTTCTTTCTACCTACCTTAGTGGCAAGCAGTGCATCCCTTCTGAACGTCACCGAAAGGATGCCACCATGTCGCTTTATCTTCATATCTCTACGCTTCTTGCTATTGGCAATGCGTCTAACCGCCAAGCAGAGAATGTGAATGCAATTATCGGGGAAACTAGCCAGACTGCTGTGCAATTCCTTGTCTGTGCTGAGAATGCTGGACAGCATGCTGGCAAGGCCAAAGACATCAGACAACGTCTCAAAGGACATCATCCGCAGGGTGGAAATGATAAGGGCATGGACAGTCCTACAGAGAGCGTAGAGATAGCAGCAGAGAATAAAGAGGGCTCTGCCAACGGTGCAGAAAGACCTGTCATCCCGAATGGAGTCCATGGCAAGGAGCTACTCGAAGAGTGGGAGGAGGGGGCTACTATTGGGGCTAGTACACTCGCAAAGTGGGTTGTACATCTATCAATTGAATGGCTAACTTATATGATTCTCAGTAACTTTACCTTCGGCGCGCACCTTCAAGATTTGTTCGATGTGATTGTCTCCCTGAAGCCCGGTAACTCAAAAGATCTGAAGAATTTCCAACACTTCATCCATCACCGTGCTTATCGAAAACTTGGCTGGCGAGTCCTAGACTTTTCCACACACTGGGGTAAATTGCCATTCGATATCATTTCCGAATGCCTAGCAAAATCTGAGTTGGAATCAAAAGACTTCACATTCAAAGAGGTTTTTAACAACGCTATCCAGATGCATATGCCGTCGCGAGCGTCTTCAGAGACCAACTCAAAGCCTGTATATTGTCTCAATTCCGACAATGCCCTCCAATGGCTTAACGTGGTCTACACACTTTGGGAAACACTGCAGAAGAAGTTGCTGGGCGAAGGGAAACCTAAGCTCAGGGAGATAAAGACGCCAACCCCTGAGGCGGTCTGTGAGATAGTCTATGCATTAATGGGTTTGGAAGCCATGATGCCTGTGCTTAAGCATCTTTTATCTGCTGAAGGGGTTGTTGGTGCTTTAGCTGAGAATGGTAAGTTGAAGAGTTCTTTCACTTTTGATTGTTGCGCTCATGTGTTTCCAGAGCTCTTAGCGTATCTCTCACGCACTGCGAAGTCTAGTGGTGACAAGAGTCTAGCTCCAGACACTGATGGTGGTGATGGTGACGAGAGAGTAGAACCAGATACTGATGACCGTGATGAAGATAATTTGGAGTCAATGTTGAATAACCGTGAGTCTTGTCCCTTGTAGTGATCATTAGGCGCTACATTAATCCTTAGGTTTCTGGACTCATGAAACATCTGTGGATCGTCTTCTGCATGCTATGAGAACTGTCCTGGCATGGCGAACCTCCTGCAAGTATATTTTCGAAAAAGCAACCTATTTTCAAAGCCAAACAGTTCAATGGAAGCTCTCCCAATTTTGTTACGGGGGTGCTCCATTTAATCCTACTGCTTTTGATGCCGACAATGTGTTGTCTTTGCTTCGAGAATGGCAGGAACCTGCAAACGACCTTGATATTGCTTTTGCTCGGGATGTCATTTACCGAACCTTGAATGCGAAGGTTCATGCTGAAGCGGCACTCATGGACTGGATTGTTACAGTAAAGGTGGGACTTCCAACTTTTCATACCAAGTTTAGCTATTCTCAACTCATATTCCCACTCTAGGATGTTCCTCCAAGTCGGCATTCAAGAAGTTGGCCTATTGGCGTTAGCAAGAAATCTTGCCGATTATGTTGGTTACTTCATCTTGCTTACAACAAGAGACGTGAAACCCAGTCCCAGTTTGTACTCCCAGGTACTCATGGTACCTTCTGTGCTTGGCTTCCTCCACCTGGGATCCCTGATGATATCTTGCTTGAACTTCGCGATGAGTTGCTTGCCGCATGCAAGACATTTGTTCCAGGTCATTCCAGACATAGCTCTGCTAGCTCCGCCACAAGTGACGCGCCTGTTGAAGAGGTAACACCAGACAATTTCCTTACTACCATATCCCAAAGGTACAGGTACTAGTGGAATTGGAGCTTCTATAACGTTGGTAGATACAATGGACTTGATGTTGTACTTGTATGTGCCGAATAATTTAACAATTAACGTATGCCTCTTACACGGGAAAATCTTACAACCAACTGTATGACTAAAATTGCTGACTAAATGCTGTGCTAGCTTGAGGGCATCCCAGGGCATCTCGGGGATTCCCACGGGTAGCCCAGGAAGCCTAGGAATTTGCCCGTTTCCCAGGGCACCCGAGCAACCAGGGCAGCCTAGGACTGTAGCCAAATCCTGAGGACCTTTGAGCCTGCTTGAGGCTACTTCCTGAGTAACTTCAGAGATGTTCAAGGATCCCTAGAATTAGGCCAAAGTCCTGGGCTACCTGGGGTGCTTGGGTTGCCTAGTGTTGCCTAGGAATTGGCCAAATTCCTGGGCATCCCTGAGACTGACCAGGCACACCTGGACTTGCCTGGGCTTTAGGTAGTTTTCCAGATGAGAGGGATTCGATTTTCTTAGCCGCCTCCGCATTTTTGGGATTTAGCAGAAGTCGGTTAAGTAACTCGTATTTTTCTTTTTCCGTGCGAGCCTTCACTTCCTTTGCAACAATGAGAGCATTAGAAACGCACTGGTTAATTTCCGACCTGCCATGCAACCAAGACTTAAAACTCTTCAGTCCAGAGTCGGCATTGTTGTAATGGCATTTATCGATCAGAAACGATAGGATTGACGAGCGCGGCACAGCGTAATTCGCTAGATATGGGTCTGCAAGCTCAGCAGCGCAAGCTTCATCCTCTGAAATCAGAGAGTATAGCTGCTTGAATTTCCTTCTCTTTTCGGCCGGTTTCATGAAGAAAGAGAGCTTGCACCGCTATGCAGGGAAGGAGAAGGAGCACCAGGTTTGCGATGCCTGCCGCTGGACTTACTCCAGATCGCGGCATGAAAGCCCGTTAGCCGGGGCCAATTGCAATCAAAACCAACCTCTGCGAACGACCGCATGTTCTAGCGCGGTTCTAAACAATTGACCCTTTCCGAGAAGTCTCCTCGCGGGCTACGGAGAACAGGGAGTGCCAGAGGCACTTTTAGCAAACTTTAGTCTCTGCCTTGAACTCGCGGTACCTTTTCCATTTTCCAAATAATGGCCAGTTGTATCTTGCCGCGGCGCCTACTGCAAAATCCGCACCACTGGCGGTATTGCCGGTCTGGCCGCTGGTATCATCCTCTCCCGTGCCCTTTATTCTGGATTATTCGACTTTATTAGCGAGTATTGCATTGGGTGATGCTTTGCCGATAAAT